TTTGTCTGTTTATTATCATTTTATGTTCGTACAAAGGTAACCCAAGGAGAGAGACATAGCGACCGGGCCAGCGCGCATTTACTCTTCTTTTGTTCGAACATTTTCGTAGCCCGGACTCCCCGCTCCCCCCTTTATCACCCTTGCACTAACTTGCCGGTATTGCTATCTCTATTATTTAAACATGGCGTCTAGCCCTCTCTTCGTTTCTCCTACACCGGCGTCGCACTCAACAAGTCTGTGCCTGCTAATTTTATTAAATGAATTTATTTTATTTTTAATTTTAATATTATTTTTACTTTACTAACTTGTCTTTTAATGAACACTTCTTTTATATTGAATTTCATTTATTCACAAACACATTTTTCTCTCAATTTCATGTGCACGTGCACGCGTGATTTCCAACCACGTGGTGTCATCACCGATACATAATTATGTATTTAATATATTTCGCAATGCTCATCCTTCCACTTATTATATTTTAATATTTTTACTCACCAGCCCTTCCTGTAGTTTGTCCGATTTCCATTCTCTCCTTATGAAAATTCTCGCCTCTGTGCTAGCACGTGTCAACACTCACACCTTTACCTTTTTAAGAAAACTCGCGTAGTTGAAGCGTGATTTTTACTTTTTAAAGCCAACTGGGCTCCATAACCTGTTGGATGATTAGGAGATACACGAAATAAAGGAGAACACTCTTTATAGAAAACTATCTTTTATTAATAATAATTAATACGCGTCTTTCTTACGAACGAGAGGAACACACACTGAGAATCGCAGATTCAAATATACATAGTCGTAGACTAGAACATAGATGGCCGCAGTATTACATAAACCTAACTTAGAAGCGCAGCGGCGCTTATAGCAACTAAATAAAGGGCGGGCGTTCCAAATTTTAACATTATTATTATTATTATTATATTATTATATTATATTATTTTTATTTTTATACTTTATTTATAAATAACTTATTATGTTACATTATTTATTAATTTATTATAAATTAAAAATATTTTTTATTATTTTTAATTTTATACATACCAAATGTACCGACAGTTCCTATACATTCCACTTTTTCTCCTTTCTCGAAATCGTGGGCTTCTTCAAAATCGTAGATCCTGACTTCCTGTTTGTAATTACCGTCAGTAATTGATCCACAACCATAATCAATGATTTTGGCTTTATTTTCGAATTTTAATCTGACGAATACTGATTTCAGATATCCTTGAATTCCTGAAATATAAATAATAAATTAATAATAATAACGAAATTAATTAATTAAAATTGAAATAAAGATAAATAGGTAGATGAATTAAAAATGTTTTGTAAAATAATTAAGATTATTAATTTTAATTAAAGGAAATAAATTTTTTTAATACTTACTAATTTGACGACCTATTGTTTGACCGACGTCAGCAATTCCTGTCAATGGCAAAACATTTTAATATTCTTTCAAATCTGCTGTGAAGTAATTTTTCATTAAAACGGTAACTACAGTGCTGGGTTTTATCAATAATTTTTGTTTCGTCAAATTGTTGAGGTCAAAGGAGAATATTGAAAAGCCTCCTTTTACTTGTTTAGTGCTCTCAATGTTATTTACATAACCTGAGATTTCTCTAGAAATAAAAATTAAATAGATTCTTAAATCGGAAACTTTATTTTTTAGGACAAAAGAATCTATAATTGAGAATGAATCACAAAAAATTAAATTATTTAAAAACAATACTCCAGGTTGTTACCATGGCAACTCGACAAATGGAGCTGCCTCAGTAGAAAATTTTTTAACCCTATAAAATCGATATTTTATAATATTTAAGATAAAAATATTGTTATCTATTTTTTTATGGTATATTTATCATAAAAAATGCTTACACACTGGAATCTCCAATTCGAATGCTTTGAAAAACCTTATTCGAGGAAAACATCACTCTTTCCTCATCACTTTCTCCTTGCAATGTCGAAAAATTCTGAGGACCATCAGGATCACCCCTTTCATTAAAATCCATTTGATCTGGCCCATCTTGTGATGACATTTGACAATTGTCATTCTTACGCGAATTTGAATTAAATTGCTCATTTTCTAGAACAATCTTTTCTTCCGACATTTTTACGATATTCTTTGGGAATTTTTTCTTTGAAGCTACTTTTGTTTTTAATAATGTAAAATTGCCATTACAACAAATAAAGCCAGGCCATAATGAATTTGTCAAATTTTTGTTTTAAAATTTTACCACCGAAGCGCTTCAATTAAATATTTATTTTTATTAAATTAATATTTTATTATTATTTGATTCCATTTTTAAAAATTTTTTTTTACTATTTTGAATATATTTTTTTTATTATTTTAAATATATTAATAAGAACTGTAAAAACTTTGTGTTTTTTAGTTTTGAAACTACTTTAAAAATATAAAAAAATAATTATATCTGCGTTATAATATTAAAAAATATTTTGAAAAAATACGTATAACAAAACGACTGATAGAAACTAACCAAACTAAAGTAGATTTCAATGAGATATAAAGAAAATATTTATCATAATCACCAAAAAGAAAAAGCGATTAAAAAATATTGTCTTTTTTTAAAAAAAATTTCCAAAACAACTCAAGACGTAGCAGTATGTGCATAAGTAAAATTTTTTAATTTTTATTTAAATTATAATTTTATATAATAGAATAATATTGATATTAAGTAATATTCATTTTCAAAATAATGAAATTCAATAAACGTGTAATAAGCAATGTTAATTAAGTTAATAACTTAATTTGTAAGCGAATTAATTTTTAAATTTTTTATTCTTCGAATTTCCGGGTTCATCAGGATGAACTCTTTTTTCAATCCTTTTTGATGCTTGGATGACTGTTTTCAACGACAATTTTTCTCCTGCTCTTTTAATAACGTCCTTTGTAGATGTTACATTGAAAAAAGGGACACTGCCTGAAAAAAGTATTTTAAAAAGATATAATTAATTAGCTGATTAAATATTAGGTAATAATTAATTATTTAATATAAAAACGTTTTTAAATTAAAAACAGATTTTAATGTTTGTAGGTCCAGTTTTTCAGTCAGTTCCAAAGGTTATCCTTTTTCTAGAATTAAATTGTGATCTTTTATTTTAATTCTAATCTCAAGCTTGTAGAGACCGTCGGTGACTCAACCAGACAAGTACAAAAATTTGACATTTTTATCATGAAAAACGTCATTGAATGGCGTTTCGACGTAACCTTCAATTCCTGTAATAAAAATTAAAACAATTTGTTAATTAACGAATTATATTAAAAATTTAATCGTTTTTAAAAACTTTGATAAATTTCTATAAAATTTAACTTGAAATCAATATCAATTAAATAAAAAATTTAAACGTAAAAAAACAATATTTCGATTTATTTTGTAGTTATAATAATTTAATTTATTAAGTTTTAAATTGTAAACTTACTTATCATGTGAGTGGTTTCGCCAACATTTTCAATTTTAATACCATTTCCGGCAATGTTATGGCATTGTTACTTTGAATTTTGTGTTGTGTGAAAGTATTAACTACAGTGTTGCTTTGAATATGGAATTCAAAATCTGTAGATCCTTCCTTGAACATATAATGGGCTGGCTTGGCCTCCACTCCGTCTAAATGGATTATCTATATTGAAAAGAATGTTTAATTAAAATTACTAAAGAGAGTAATAATTTTCTTTTTTATATATATTGAATTTATTCATTTAATTAAAATAAAAAAAATTTTTATTAATAAAATATAAAAATAACAATAAAAAAATTAATTAAATTTAAAAAAAAATAAAAACTAAAAAAATAGAAAGAAATACAAAATTAATACCTATTAATTAATATTTTTTATAAATACCGCATTTTATTTAATATGAAGTAACGTTCTTGAAATGTAATCATTCCAGATATTGACAAGAATTTGGTGTCCCTGGTCATTATTCACGAAAAATTTAAAAAGCCTTTTGTTTCTTTCTCCTACAATTTCTACGTCGCCCAATTTATCGACATAGCCTACAAATTCTCTGACAATTTTCAATTATAAAATTAGACCTTTTTATAATAAAAAAATTAATGAATAATAGTTTGATAAAAATATTTTTAAAAATAAAGATATATGTCAATTTTCTAATATAAAGGTTAACTTACACAGTTGAATCGAACATTTTAATTTTTTCAATCATTTCGTTGCTGGAATACGAGATCGGCCCAAAATTAAAATTAAAAAAAAAAATTAATTAAAATCTTCTCTTTGATCCATAATTAGTGGACTTTTCTTCTTGATTAGCTAGACAGTTTATATAGTCAAATCTAAAGATGGAAATAGTGTGTGATGATAACTTTTATAAACTGAAATTTGTTTATACATTATTACCATAGGAACTAAAACAAAATGCTTAATTATATTGAAGTTAGTCTGTAAACGAAAACAAACTTCCATTTTTTAAATTCCTCGAGAGATTTCGAATGCTTTTAAAATTCATTTTAATTTAAAAAATAAACAGAAATTGAAAATGAATTGAATATATGACTTGGATTTTCAAATTATTTTACAATTTTAATTTTCAATAACTACATTATTATTATTACATTTTTTGCAATAATCATTTTAATTAAATTTTTTCTATAAAAATATTTAATTATAAATAATAATAAATAAAATATAAAAACGAACACAATAATTTATCGAGTCTTATTTGTTTTGTAAATAAAAAAAAACTACATAAATATATTCAAGAAAAAATTATTTAAATCCAATAAATAGCATATGTTTTTGTGTACATATTGTCTGAATATGTAATGCTGTGAATGGTTCAAAAAATTGAGATAAACGAAATCTTAGTAAAATATCTATAATGTCAGTGAGCCTTCCTCATCGTTTTACATAAGGCAATAGGACTTATTTCTTACATCGTTAATCTAAGCTTATAAATATAATTCTCGATAAACATAATTTTTTACATATTTTGTATTTCTGTTATTTCCCAAATATACTTTTAAAGCATTTCATTTTCGAACACGTGAACATGCGACGTATAATTGGCCACGATTAAAAACATCTTTGCGCAAATCTATACCAATATTCGTAAATGTTTGCCCTTGCGACTTATTTATCGTCATTGCAAAGGCTAATTTAACAGGGAATTGTCTTCGTTTAAACGTAAATGGATTAACATTTTCACAGTAAAGAGTAATTCGATTTATAAACACAATGTCTCCAAATTTATCACCTGTTAAAATTTTGCATCGCAATAAATTATCTGTAAGTTCTAAAACAAGCAATCTTGTGCCATTGCACAAACCTTTATTAATTCTCAAATTTCTAATAAGCATAATTATGCTATTAACTCGTAATCGCAATTCATGAAGAAGAAGACTTGGAGGCGATAAACTGTTTAAATATTCTGGTAAAATAATTTCGTTAAAACTATTGCTGTCATTATTTTCAACTGTATCGATACTTGTGTAAATTCTTTCAGTTGTAGTGTCTAACAGTTGGACGACTCTCTCATTAAGTTCATTGACATCAGCATTTCTTGCAGATAATATTGCACATTCAGAAATTTCATCAAATTTCTTATCTCTAATTAATTTACCATAAATGTCATTAACTATATCTGAATTCACATTTGCAATAATTTGTTTTGGAATTTTTACATTGTCATTTGCGTCATTCAAAGTGCCATTCCTTAAATTTAACAAGAAATTTGAAAATTCAACTTCTTCTGGCAAGACACACAAATTTTCAGTTAAAGGAAATATTTTAAAATATTTCCAGAAGAAACTAAATTTTATTGACAAATTAATGATTTCAGTTTTAGTTTCATTCTCCTTGATGGGCAAAAGTTGCCTAAAATTGCCGCCTAAAACAACAATTTTTCCACCAAATGCTATATCATTTTTCATTATGTCGCGCAAAGTTCGATCCATAACTTCTAAAGCAAATCGTGGAGCCATAGGTGCTTCGTCCAATATAAATATATCAACATTTTTCAAATACTGACCTTCTTTTGATTGAACTTTAATACTCGACGTAGAATCAGAAAATAAAGGAACTGGCAATCCTAAGGTTTTATGTACCGTTTTTCGATTTGGGAGAAGAGTAGCTGCTATCCCTGTAAAAGCCATTGTACAAACCTGCTTTTCTTTGCTCTTTAAAAAATACCATAAGGTAGTGTAAACAAAAGTTTTACCAGATCCTCCTGGTCCATCGACATAAAAACATGTACCTTGGGATGTTAAACATTAGCCACGGGTGCCAAGATTGTCGAAACAATTTCTTTCTGGTCTTTGTTAAGTTTTTCAAACTGTTGTATGCCGATTCGCAAAGCATCTTCACATGACATATTATCACTTACTTCAATAAAATTTTCAACTTCACGCGTACCCGAAAAGTTGGATATGCTCCATCCCTCGGCTAGTAACATTGAATTTAAATCCGCATAAGCTTTGTTTTCACCTTGTATCAATCCAAATTGCCTCACATAATCTTCTGACATTGATTGTTTAAACTGTTCCCACAGTTCGTTAGGATAAAGAGGATTACAGTGAATTAGAATACGAACACACAGTCTACGAAGACTTCGTGGCATCATCTAAACTGCCCAGGTGAAAATGATCCTCACGAATGACGTGTGGAATTCGTCCGGAATTCGTCCAAATTTCCTTAAGAATTCGTTTAGAATTCGTTCAGATTTCCTGTCGAATTCTGGAAACAGAATTCGTCCATAATTTAATCGGAATTCGTGCGACTTTGATAAGAAAAACGAATACAAAAAAATTTTCTCTTAAATTTCCGACCGAATTTCGTACGGTATTCGTGCGAATTGCTAACGAATATTTTAAGAACAGTTCGTGCGGATTCCTATAAGAAATTGATAGAAATTCCGAACGGAAATTTGGATGAAAAAATTTTTAAAAAAAATATTCGCCCACTTTTCCGACCGAATAGTGCGCGGTAATCGTACGAATTACTAACAAATTCTTTAAATAATCTTCGTGTGGATTCCTATAAGAAATTGATGGGAATTCCGAACGGAATTTTCGCTGAAAAATTTTTTTAAAAAAATATTCGCCCCCTTTTCCGACCGAATAGTGCGCGGTATTCGTTAGAATTACTAAGGAATTCTTTAAATAAACTTCGTGTGGATTCCTATAAGAAAATGATAGGAATTCCGAACGGAGTTTTGGGTGAAAAATTTTTTTAAAAAAATATTCGCCCACTTTTCCGACCGAATAGTGCGCGGTATTCGTACGAATTACTAACAAATTCTTTAAATAAACTTCGTGTAGATTCCTATAAGAAATTGATAGGAAATCCGCAAGGAATTCTAGCTGAAATTTTTTTTTTTAAATATTCGCCCACTTTTCCGACCGATTAGTTCGCGCTATTCGTACGAATTACTAACAAATTCTTTAAATAAACTTCGTCTGGATTCCTATAAGAAATTGATAAGAAATCCGCAAGGAATTTTGGCTGAAAAATTTTTTTTTAAAAATATTCGCCCCCTTTTCCGACCGAATAGTGCGCGGTATTCGTACGAATTACTAAGAAATTCTTGAAATAAACTTCGTGTGGATTCCTATAAGAAATTGATAGGAAATCCGCAAGGAATTTTGGCTGAAAAATTTTTTTAAAATAATATTCGCCCACTTTTCCGACCGTATAGTGCGCGGTATTCGTACGAATAACTAACAAATTCTTCAAATAAACTTCATGTGGATTCCTATAAGAAAATGATAGGAATTCCGAACGGAATTTTGGGTGAAAAATTTTTTTTAAAAAATTTATTTGACGGAATTCCATGTGGAATTAATATCAATTAATTTCTAATGAGAATTCGCACGGCATTCATTAAAAAAATTTGTTAATATTTCGCACGAATACCGCGCACTATTCGGTCGGAAAAGTGGGCGGATATTTTTTTAAACAAATTTTTCTGCCAAAATTCCGTTCGGAATTCCCATCAATTTCTTATAGCAATCCACACGAAGTTTATTTAAAGAATTCCTTAGTAATTCGCACGAATACCGCGTAATATTCGGTCGGAAAAGTAGGCGAATATATTTATAAAAAAAATTTTCATCCAAAATTCCGTTCGGAATTCCCATCAATTTCTTATAGCAATCCACACAAAGTTTATTTAAAGAATTCCTTAGTAATTCGCACGAATACCGCGTAATATTCGGTCGGAAAAGTAGGCGAATATATTTTTAAAAAAATTTTTCAGCTAAAATTCCGTTCGGAATTCCCATCAATTTCTTTTAGGAATCGACACGAAGTTTATATAAAGAATTCCTTAGTAATTCGCACGAATACCGCGCACTATTCGGTCGGAAAAGTGGGCGGATATTTTTTTAAACAAATTTTTCAGCTAAAATTCCGTTCGGAATTCCCATCAATTTCTTTTCGGAGTCAACACGAAGTTTATATAAAGAATTCCTTAGTAATTCGCAGGAATACTGCATACTATTCGGTCGGAAAAGTGGGCGGATATTTTTTTAAACAAATTTTTCATCCAAAATTCCGTTCGGAATTCGTATCAGTTTCTTATAGGAATCCACACAAAGTTTATTTAAAGAATTCCTTAGTAATTCGCACGAATACCGCGTAATATTCGGTCGGAAAAGTAGGCGAATATATTTTTAAAAAAATTTTTCATCCAAAATTCCGTTCGGAATTCCCATCAATTTCTTATAGCAATCCACACGAAGTTTATATAAAGAATTCCTTAGTAATTCGCACGAATACCGCGCACTATTCGGTCGGAAAAGTGGGCGGATATTTTTTTAAACAAATTTTTCAGCTAAAATTCCGTTCGGAATTCCCATCAATTTCTTTTCGGAATCAACACGAAGTTTATATAAAGAATTCCTTAGTAATTCGCACGAATACCGCGTAATATTCGGTCGGAAAAGTGGGAGGATATTTTTTTAAAAAAATTTTTCAGCCAAAATTCCGTTCGGAATTCCCATCAATTTCTTATAGGAATCCATACGAAGTTTATTTAAAGAATTCCTTAGTAATTTGCACGAATACCGCGCAATATTCGGTCGAAAAGTAGGCGAATATATTTTTAAAAAAAATTTTCATCCAAAATTCCGTTCGGAATTCCCATCAATTTCTTATAACAATCCACACGAAGTTTATATAAAGAATTCCTTAGTAATTCGCACGAATACCGCGCACTATTCGGTCGGAAAAGTGGGAGGATATTTTTTTAAACATATTTTTCAGCCGAAATTCCGTTCGGAATTCCCATCAATTTCTTATAACAATCCACACGAAGTTTATATAAAGAATTCCTTAGTAATTCGCACGAATACCGCGCACTATTCGGTCGGAAAAGTGGGAGGATATTTTTTTAAACATATTTTTCAGCCGAAATTCCGTTCGGAATTCCCATCAATTTCTTATAGGAATCCACACGAAGTTTATTTAAAGAATTCCTTAGTAATTCGCAGGAATACTGCATACTATTCGGTCGGAAAAGTGGGCGGATATTTTTTTAAACAAATTTTTCATCCAAAATTCCGTTCGGAATTCGTATCAGTTTCTTATAGGAATCCACACAAAGTTTATTTAAAGAATTCCTTAGTAATTCGCACGAATACCGCGTAATATTCGGTCGGAAAAGTAGGCGAATATATTTTTAAAAAAAATTTTCATCCAAAATTCCGTTCGGAATTCCCATCAATTTCTTATAGCAATCCACACGAAGTTTATATAAAGAATTCCTTAGTAATTCGCACGAATACCGCGCACTATTCGGTCGGAAAAGTGGGCGGATATTTTTTTAAACAAATTTTTCAGCTAAAATTCCGTTCGGAATTCCCATCAATTTCTTTTCGGAATCAACACGAAGTTTATATAAAGAATTCCTTAGTAATTCGCACGAATACCGCGTAATATTCGGTCGGAAAAGTGGGAGGATATTTTTTTAAAAAAATTTTTCAGCCAAAATTCCGTTCGGAATTCCCATCAATTTCTTATAGGAATCCATACGAAGTTTATTTAAAGAATTCCTTAGTAATTTGCACGAATACCGCGCAATATTCGGTCGAAAAGTAGGCGAATATATTTTTTAAAAAAATTTTCATCCAAAATTCCGTTCGGAATTCCCATCAATTTCTTATAACAATCCACACGAAGTTTATATAAAGAATTCCTTAGTAATTCGCACGAATACCGCGCACTATTCGGTCGGAAAAGTGGGAGGATATTTTTTTAAACATATTTTTCAGCCGAAATTCCGTTCGGAATTCCCATCAATTTCTTTTAGGAATCCACACGAAGTTTATTTAAAGAATTCCTTAGTAATTCGCACGAATACCGCGCACTATTCGTTGGGAAAAGTGGGCGAATATTTTTTTAAAAATATTTTTCAGCCTAAATTCCGTTCTTAAAAACTTACTGCGCCTTTTACTGATAATAATAATAATCGCAAATAAAACAGTTCAACTAGCGCTGGATTAACTGAATACATTCGTCCTATAACGTTAAATTTACTTTCACGTGGTTTCCATTGAGATACAGTTTTGCCATCTATTTTTTCTTTTTTGAAAGTATAGTGTAAAGGAATGTCAGTATAATAATAATTTCTAGCATTCGGATCACGAGTATTTAATGCAAAATAATCAAGCAACATAGTTACTTGATTCAAAACTGATTCGATTTCATTGCCAGTCATTTTGTCATCGATTGCTATATTTTGTTCGTTTGGTAAATGAACAGGTAAACGACAAATAGAGTGACTCTTTTCTTGTAAATTTTTATTCAAAATCCGCCTTACAGCCTCAACTGGTCCTACATATCGCGTTTCTACAAAATCTTTAATTTCATCATGATTGATTTCTCCAATCTCGATGGCAGAAGCATTATGACCTTTGTATATATATTTATACAAATATTTTGCAGATTTTTGACCATCTATAACAATTTCTACATTGATATAAGCTCTTAATAGTAATAATAGAATGGGACAATAAGGTACTACATATCGATTGTCGACTACATAATTACTAGTTCGATTGTAAGTGATACCTTTGTTTCTTCTGCAATATCTAACGCCTTCATTTTCGTTTATTGTTGTGGTTTCGCAAAATTCCTTAGGATAATTTTTAGAACATTTTTCGTTTACCACACACCAATCACCACAAGGTCCATGAATCATATTTTTCATAACGATTTCATGTAAATCAGGATTGAGTTTTGGATCAGGAATTTCTGATGAAATATAGCGATCTACTTTTTCTGAAGTCTTTATTTTACAGTTTGGTTTCAAAATAATTAATAAGTGAATGTGTGGCAATCCTCGTTTCTCAAATTCTATTACGTACACGAAAGATAGAACTTCTCCAAAAAATCTTTGTCGAACAATTAGATCCATTAAATACTTAACTTTTAAACTGAAAACTCGTGCCACAAGATCAGGTCGATCTACTGCTGTCTGGCTTTCGCATAAGTTTTCTCTTATTTTTCTCCAATTAGGATTGCAAGTCATTGTAAGAAATATATCTGGCTTCCCATGTTTTCTAACAATGGCCATCAAGTCTTGATAATGTTGCATCATGTTTCGAGGAGAACCAATGAACGTTGATGGTAATATAACCATTTTTCCAACATTTGTGTTATTTTGATTTGCAGAATTTTGCATATAATCTATTAATCCCTGATATGAATCAATTCTTAATTTTTTCTGATTTGCTTTGCAATATTCTAATCTATCTCTTTCTATTTTCACATAAAAATCGACTAACCACTGTTGAAACAATCGATCATATAATAAATATAGATTAAACTCACTGTCGCGTATTGCAGTTCTATATTTAACATAGTCTCCTCTGCTAACACGTTTGTCGATATTTACACGTTTTAGATTGCAATGCCATCCTTGATTACCATGAGGATAAAATAATGGATAAATCATGGGTTCGACATTAGGATCCATGCTACTTACGTACTGTAAAGTTTTAGTATTAATATTTCGTATAACAATATACAATTCAGGAATATCACCATCAGCAGATGTTGAAAAAACAGCAGCTACCTCATTGGTTCTCTGAAGGTTATACCTATTGCGATCCATTCCTGGTTTCAAAGTAAATAATAATTGTACTTCTGGCATTGTTTCATTATTTTCCATTGCTTTCTGACGCTGAATTTCAATTTCTTCACCCATCATTTGGTAAGATTTAGCTAATATATTATGATCACGCATCATGTTTTCTAGAATTTGTAAAAGATTCATATTTACGTCAATGGTACCTGAACGATAATTTATCGCTTCAAGAGCATCGACAATAAATAATTGTCTAAAACTTGGATTCTCGCTTGGTTCAGGATATAACGCGGTATTTAATAAGTAATAAATTTGTCCCTGAATTTTATAACAAAATAGACCAGGTCTTTGAGATTGCAAATTAACTAAATTCGTATTGAAAGAAGCAAATGCAAATGAATTATTTATACTTGGGATATTCTTGAATAAGTTTGGTGACAACGCATGAGTTTTTAAAAACAAAGATTTTAATTCTGGAGGAAATTCTGGTAATGAATCAAGAAACACTTCTCTATAACTACAACAATCATTAAATGAATTCCCTTTCCCAACTTTTTCACCGATAAAATGCTTTGTATTGCAATGAATACATAATTCATTGATTTCTCCTAAATAATTTTCAGAAATGGTATTACTTTCGCTATCAATGAAAGTATCGACATTAAACAATCCTTTTTGACGAGCTGCATAATGTTTTGTTCGTTCTCCTCGGGAAAACGAAGAACTATCTTTGTTGTTTACATGCAAAACTTCACTTTGCGATAATGAATCTACTCTTATAGCGCCAGCTACATTTTCAGAACATCCAGAAATATTTTTATTTTTTAATTTTTGACGTCTTAACCTTTGATTTTCAGAATTTCTTTCTCATCGCATTCGCTGATATTCTTCCTCTTCTTCAGGACTACGCTGAATTTTCCTTCGTGGCATTTTAAAAATCCAACACTTCATTTAAACTTAATTAACCCCTTGGCTGTCGACAAGATTTTCACTGTTTGGGCTAAAAGTTTGTTGAAAATTTTAACTGATGTCAGGTTTGGAATCAGCGACCCCGAAAACCCCCGAGTAACCAGTTTGAGGAATATTTAAGATTTTTTTAATTACTTTTTTTAAGTTGCGCATATATACGTCAAGTGCACTCTTGTCCAGTTTTAGTTTTGCGCATATATGTGTCAGCGACAGGCAACGGGTTAAAACACAAAAAATTGCTTTTATTTGTAATTTTTTTTGTAATTTGTGATTTTTTATATCGCGACTATAAATTAATTAAAAAATAATTAGAATCCAGATTATCGTACTTGATTATCAAATCCTTAATCTAAATCATGAAATTATCATAAAATCATCGTCATTTATCATCATAATTATCATAATCAATAAATAAAAAATTATGTAATTAATTATTTTCTGTTTATTACTATTATTGTTTTTCATTATCATAATAATAAACCTTTTATTTTATTTATATTTATAATTATTGCTTATTGTCATAATTTCTGTTTTGTATATTGTATAATAATTTTATATTTTTTTATTGGAAAAACTTATTTAAAAATATTCTAGAAACAAAAAATGTTAATTTAAACAATTACTATTTTTTAAATTATATTTTCAATTAAAAATAATAAAATAAAAGAATTTAAATGTTCAAATTTAGTATCTATTTTTATTTAGAATAAAAATTATTTTCAAAGGCTTACCTTCAATTAATACCACTAAAATTGTTTCATAATGACATTCACTAATTCAAATAAAAATCATAAATAAAATAAATAAATCAGATTCACATTATATCATCACTCTTATAAAATGAAAAAAATTTATATTACGAATCATATTATTACATATATAATTAAATGAAGCAGAAATAGAATAATTATTATAATATTATGTTTAATGCCAAATATTAAGACCATTCTATTTTGACATTTTACATTTATTGAGTTTGACATAAGTAAACAAACCATATTCAGAGATGTGGAAAATGTTAACGAACCAATCAGGTTTTCGACAACAATGTGTTCGATATCTCGTCAGTACTACTTTTTAGGATAGGATACCTGCACGGAAAATGCGATTTCGGGGGTCGGCGGCAGAAGTCTGAAATAGACTATTCCTCGATGTGTCATGCGATGGTGGGGAAATGTTCATTGCTCCCACTAGTATGAGAAATAGGTGAAAAAAGTGACATATGCTAGAGAAATCAACGCCAGCTGCAGGAAAATGTTAAATCTAAACTAGCGCCAACTAGCAGATATCGGTGCAACTAACATAGTCCGCGTTGATATCGCAGCGATAAATCGACGTATCGTTTCATTTCATAACTAACTTTATGTTGACACATAACCTAAAAGTAACGTGTGTGTTTAATTTTAGTTCTTCTATTCTACATTGTGTACTTATGAAATTTTTATATCTTTTGAGTTGGTTTTTTATAGTTAGGGGACTTCGCACCCCTCTCCGGGGTTCCACCCCTGGGCCCCGTCTGGTGTAAACCCCCGGAACCCCCCTTTCCCGCATCGAAAAAAAGTTTCCGGTGAAACACTCTAATAAGTAATAGTCACTCTTGAATTTTACAAAAATTAATTTTTTTAAATATTGATCAAAATATTCATACCAAGCTCGCGGACTTTATTTCAACCCATATAGTGCCTTTTTTAATTTACACCGTTTTCCAGTATTGTCCGCATATCCTTGGAGTTGTTCCACAAATACTTCTGATTTTACTCGACCATTTAGAAAATCTGTTTCTACGTCTAATTTAAAAATTCTTAATTTATTCTGGCCATAATATGATAACAATAATTTCAATTTCTGAATTCTAGCAACTAGTAAATACAAGTCTTCTTTCTTTCGATTACCAGATTGTTTTGTGAAAACACATCTTAGATCTAATACTTCAATATTTTTATTTGGTTTCTCGACAAGGTCCCAAGTTTTATTATTACTCAAAATATTTATTTCTTTTTCCATGGCTTCATTAATCATCCAATAGAGTAAAGAAATACTTTGAATCATCAAAACATGGTGTTTTATGCGGTCCATTTAAACCAGAAAGTACTATCTCTAGAATTTTTTTTAGATGAGTTGGTTCTAAAACATTCGGTAGACCGTCTACCAATTTGTATTTGCACATGTGACTTAAATAATTAAAGTTTATGTTCCCTTGTATTCTATGTAGTTTTTCGTTCTGTATTAAATTTTCTTTCTCAATAATAAAGCTACTCACTTCATAAGGCCCATTCTCTTTACAAGCAATCTCAATCAAATTTTTATTTTTATCATAAATTTCTGCCGTTTGATCAATCGCGTTGATTTTATTTTTATCAGTTACTCTCGCAAAACTAAATAAATTCTTGTCCATTTCTTTCACATAAAATACATTGGATATTATTATTTCTACTCTTGTTTTATTAGTCATAGAATACGTATAAACTTTTCTAACTTTTGTTATTTTTAAATTCGACCGTCTCCGACTTTAACATTAACAGGATTTTTTAAGATCAAAAATTCACCAAAATAAAAATTATCATTAATTATATAATCTGAACATCCGCTATCTAATATTCAATCTATTTTATTTGAATTACAATTGTAGATATTAACATCATTTTCAATACAATTGTTACTTACAATTTTTGTCAAAAACGAATATTTGACATTTCCAAAGCCTCTGCCTTTTTTCCTCGTGTAGTAGGATGGTGTTGATTGTGCTGTGGAGTCAGCAGATTTCATATACCTTTTCGCCACAGAGTTTTACAACTTCTTATCATACGGTCTGGCTTGTTACAACCATAACAAATCACATCTTGTTTATTTTAAACGCACTAACTTTTCTTTTACTTGAGTCACATAGTTATTTTTCTTTTCAAAAATTCACAATTTCTGTCCTTTTCTTTCATGGCATCGATTAGATCACCAATATAGATTAGCGAGTCCGGCAGAGTTTTAAGCATGTAGTTTAACTATTATTGTTCGTTGACTTTCCCGCCAGCGCTTTTCAGTTCATTATTTGTTTTTCTCTTTGTGAAAAACGTCCTCGAGTCTTCATAATCTTTTAGCTTTAATTTATACAATTGATTTCTAATACAGATTTATAATGCCGTTGACTCCTTTAGGTAGAGTTGATCGAATTTTTTTATAATTCCAAATGCCGTGTTCTTATCGCCAACAAACTTTAACTGGTCATTAGATACACTTCGGTAAATTGCTTTTAGGTTCCATATATAGTTCATTTTCCATTTAAAATAATTAAATTGTTAATAAATCAGCAACCATGTGCTCATTTAACCTCAACTTTCCATGTGCACTCACTTTTTAATCCTGGTGCATCTGCCCTTTTTAAAGATCCCATTTGTATAAAATTAACTTCCAACACACAATGCTCCATTTGAGTTTATAATTTCACAAAATGTTTTTCATCTTGTCCAATGCTAATATTATATTTTATCAGTTCAAAAGGGCACATGAAAAATAAAAAATATTCACTCTAGACCCACCGAACCACGCTCTGCTACCATGTTAGAATTATTATTGTTCGTTGACTTTCCCGCCAGCGCTTTTCAGTTCATTATTTGTTTTTCTCTTTGTGAAAAACGTCCTCGAGTCTTCATAATCTTTTAGCTTTAATTTATACAATTGATTTCTAATACAGATTTATAATGCCGTTGACTCCTTTAGGTATTTTAATAAATGTAACATGGTTTTATTTAACAGTAAATGGTAATAATAATATTTATTTAATATATTAGAAAATAACTTGACCTATAGCCTATTACAATATTCTCTAGCATTGTGCTCGGCGATGTGTATACTTTTAGACTGACTCTTTCTTGAAGTACAATCATCTTTTGTATACTAATTTATTGCGTGCGCATATTTACACATACGATATCAAAAGTAAGCAGATATTTACTTTTCATATTCTAAAAATCCCATGTAGGATATCCCTGGGGTATCCAAATTTCGATTACGTGGGCTATCTCAAGGATATCGCGGGATAGGATATCCCTTGCTGTGAGGGAGGGGTCTTTTTAAATTTATTATCAGTATTGTATCTGTACTGTTGTTTTTATTTTAAATTACCCAGTTACTTTTATTAATTTTATAAAATTTATTATTTTCAAGGTTACTACAATGACTTTGATCTGCACTTCAACAAAAAATTTTCGGACACATGTACAGAGGAAGGCTTTCTTTCTGATCCATTAGACTGCAGAATATTTTATCGATGCATAAATTGGGGTAATAGCAAACCGCTAACTAGTTTTAAATTTAAATGTGGCATTGGAACAGTATTTTCCAGAAGCATGGGAAATGTATGCGTACCTCCTAGTGAAAGTGAAAGAACAGACTGTGCTGAATCAGAAAACAAAATAAAGCTTGATTTACAACAACCTTTCATACCTACTTTACTAAACAACAATGAAATACCACATGATATGTTACATAGATGTAGTCAACCATGGTCATTTTCTAAAGAAGAATGTAAATATTTATTTTCTAATAGAAATATTGAAAAAAAGTATTTGCCTGTGACCCATTATCCTAGTCAGTTTAATAAATTTAAATCTTTTCGTCCAAATGATGAGATTATTCATAATAATGAAAATGTAATAGACAGATCGGAAATATTGCCTCTAACATCCGACAATAATTTGATGGGAGAAATTTCTGATGCTTGCTCTCATGAAGGATTTTTTTCTGACTTAAAAGATTGCCGAAAGTTTTATCGATGTGTTCCAGACCAATTCGGTTATAGAAAATTTACATTTTATTGTGCTCATGGTACAGCGTGGAATCAAAGCGAACAAACTTGCAATTATGTTACTCAAGTTTTAACATGTCATTTTAGTAATAATATACTAACTGAAAGCAATTTTCAAACCTTAGAAGAGAATATGGTGACATCTACTTTTTATCCTATTAAAAATACTATTAATATGGATATAACTAGATATAAGAATAAAAAATTGACGACATTACGGTATTCGCTATCATCATCTAAACATAACGAGAGTAATGGTATCGATTCTATTAACAGTAATATTACAACATTCAATGAATCGTGTTTTTTTAATTGCGAATTTAATAATGGTATTGTTTGTAACAATCCGGGATTTTATGTTCATCCTACAAAATGTAATAAATTTTATCGTTGCGTTGACAACGGAAATGGATTTAATATATACTATTTTGACTGTCCACCTGGAACAATATTTGATCCTAGTCTTAATGTCTGTAACTATCCTGAATCAATTTATCCACCTAGAAAATGCAAACAACATATTTTCACGTCTATTGAACCATCTTCAACAAATTCTGTATTTACAACATTGAAATCTCAAGAGGTGACAACAACAGCATCCATCACAGAATACACAACTTCAAAAACAGAAATTAATTCTTCTGTATTAACAACAGATGTGTCGAAATCAGAGTCTTTCACAGATGAATCTTATTTGTCTACAGAGAAAATATCATCTTTTTCTACGATATCAAGTTCTGAAAAAGTAGAAATTGAAGAATTATCAAACACAGTAACAACTAACAATTATAAAACTACTTCACAGATTTTTGATACTTCAATTTCAACAGAGATAGATAAAATGACTGATACTACAAGAGGTTTAACAATAAAAGAAACTACTATAATGAGAACAGCAATGCCAGTGGAAAAATCAACTTTTTCAGAATTAATGGCAACAACGACAGCAGATGTTAAAACAACACCAAAATACAACGTGGAAATGTCTACTGGTGTAACAGAATCAGTCACAAAATTTGAAGAACTCGCAACAAATGGACTTTTACCTTCCGAAAATGATTTTTCTAACTGTCCAATTTCTTCAAACCTTACTGATGAACAAGTGCTTCTAATATGTCCAACAGGATTTAAGCGTCATCCTAAGTTCTGCAATATTATTTACCAGTGTACTACAGAAGACAACTCACAAATTAAGCTTTTAACACTTCGTTGTCCTGAAAATACCATTTTTGATGAAACTAAAGTACAATGTGTTCCAGAATCTGAAAGTTCCCAACCTTGTAAGGGATCTATCAACTATGACAGAACTTATCGACGATCAGATAGCAAACGTTTATTAAATGTAAGTATTGATTTTACTGTCAAGAATTTATTATACTGGTCAAAAAAATTTAGATATTTCTAGCTAAAAGAGTAAAATACTGTTCATTTTTACAGTATTTTTCATATAAAGTACGAATATTTAAGTTAAGTTTTCCCATCACATCTAAAATATAAAAAAGGTGTTAAAATGTCAAAAAATGACATTTTTGTCACTTTTTGAGTCTCTTTAAAAACAAAAAACGTGTAGTAAATAGCTCAAATATGACTTCATTGAGAATTTATACCTTTAATTGTAGTACTAAAAAGCAAAAAACCATGTAACAATATTTCAAAAGTCCTGTTGGTCATTTTTTCAAAAAATCATTCGTTTCAAGGCCATGAAACGATTTATAAATTATTCTGCTTATTGCAATCAGATATGAATGAAATTGATAAGGCGTTGTCCGCAGTGGCGAGACAGCCGGTGTGGCGAGACATTAGGATATTTCAGACAGCTGAACTGACTGTGCTGGCACTTCTGGTCTGAAAGTCAAGTTTTATTGTGCTTTAACTTTTCAATATGATACATACGTTTTTGATGTACGAAATATCGCTATACTGTTAATAACAGTTTCAAGATATTTTAAAAGTTTTATTTCCCATCGGTATAAGTGATAATATATAAAAATTTCCGGAATTTTCTGAAGGGTTAAATGTTTTGAGTCTTTAGTATTTAAGTTTCCTTCAAAATTTCCAGAGCACTATGAATTATTGATCGATGCATAGGATTGTACATCGTCATTACCGAAAAATGCTGTTTCCGCATTGGCGAGACACTTGTTGTCGGCAGTGGCTTTTTTATATCTAATAATATTGTACATGTCCTAATGAATTTGATATAATTTTTGTACGTTTTGTCGACAATATTTTTCATAACTATAGTTTAAATTGAAAAAGATGAACTGGAAGAAAAGCTTATTTGTTTTTAATAACTGTGACATGGATTAGCGGCTCACAATCAAAAAAATATTTGCCTGTATTTTTATGATTGAATGAAACAATATTATGATTTAAAGGCATCAATTATTATACTATTTCTCTTTGATTCCTTTGTTTTTGTTACGTTTGAACGATAAAGACTCTGATTTTAAGATAGTGTCTCGCCACTACGGACAATTTTTTATGTCGGTAGTCGCGAGACATTATCGTAAATCGGCAATAACTTTTTTTCCAATATCTGTTCTGTAACTGTATAAGTTAAATTTGCAGTATAGAGTCACACATGTCCATGGATATATATACAGACTTGATGTTCTTGAAAATGTGAGTGCTATAACAAAAAAACAAAACGTGTCTCGCCACTACCGACTCTCCCTTATATTTTGATTTTAAAGAACGTTATTAATCTGATTATTAAAAGATGTTTTGATTAATTAAGAAAAGACTTTTAATTCATATATAAATAAAATTATAATAATGCTTGTCATTTATCTGTAATATTTATAATTAATAAGTAGGAGCTTGATAATACTTTGATTGAATAGTAAATTTATTTCTTTGTCGAATTAATCTCTCAGTAAATTTATTTTGTAGTCGAATGAATATCTCACGAATTCTGGGTAAAAGAATGCACAATGTTCAATTACTCGACAAGATTGGATTCGTTACACAATTAAAATTTTATTTAAAAAAATAAATCACACCAAATGAATATAAATTGTCACTCCACATAATTCAGGACAAGGATCATATTATTAAATTATTACCAGACGCCTTCGCGCTGTTAGATGATGCAGGTAAGATCGAGGATATCCTGAATATCACCACTCAATTATTTGGCTTCCTAGGATCGTTTGACATCAAGTTCATACGAGAGATTTCTTTCGTTCAATAAAATTCAGGAGGATAAGATAATGCTTTCTCCGCCAAACCAAGTGCAGCGCAAATCCTCGTATAAAGTGCCATGCTATAAGAATTTAGCGATTTTACATTTTATACTATGATAATTACAGAACATCTTATAGATTCTTACAAAGTTATATTTCTTTACCTGACTACCTTTCTACACTACAGAACCCAGACTTACCGATTTTGTTCGGCCAAGTATTTTCAGTTAGAATATGGAAAAGTATTAGATACGTATTTTTTTATCTGTCTAGGCTTAAATTTAAGTGTAGGAACCACCCTTTCAAGGTTGAATTTTGCGGTATTTAGGAATTTAACTATTGCCTGCCTGTCTATTCAAGATAATAGAATAATAATGTTTGTATTCAAGAAAAATTTGTCAATTAATTTAGGGCTCTGAATAACTTTAAAATTGCATTTTCAAAAAACCACCCTTAACCATTAAAACCATCCCCGTTACATTTGAACTTGATATTATAATAATTTTCTTTCATAAAAATTTTAACCTAATGTAAGTCATTTCATAGGTTTCCAAAATAATTTTTTAAAAAATCACCCTTTAACCCCAAAACCACCTCCTGAATATTATAAATCTTTTTTTTAATTTTGAAATTTTTCTCTACAGTAGCCTATGGTTAATCTGATTTTTTAACTATATCTAAATGACGTTTTTAAAAATGCACCCTTAAACCCAAACATCACCCCGTGAATAATTTACTCACAAACATCTAAAAAATACTCATAAGTCGTATTTTATCTCCACTATATTCTCAACATGTAGTTGTTTATTTTGTGAATAGTACTTCGCAGAAGTTATTTTAGTGCTAGACTTCTGTGTAGAGAGTTTTTACAAATTTTAACTCTTTGACAGTCGACGGCCCATAAGTCGTGTCACCTTTGTGATTTTGGACATATATGTTCGCATTAGAAATAAAATACTAAACATAATTTAATTTGAGTGTCAATGGTTACATTAAGTTTTTCGGGGTCGCTGAATCCAAAATTAATGTCAGATTTAAAAAATTCAAAATGGCGGACTTAATATGTCGGAAAAATTTAAAATTAATTCGATTCGTTCAAAATTCGGTACTCGGGGGTTTTTGTGGTCACTGAATCGAAATTTGAGGTCAGATTAAAAAAATTTTAAATGGCGGACCTAATATGGCGACCCACTATAATAGAAAATTTTTAAATTGATTCGATTTGTTCAAAATGCGGTACTCGGGGGTTTTCGGGGTTGCTTAATCCAAATTTGATGTCAGATTTTAAAAATTCAAAATGGCGGACCCAATATGGCGAAAAAATTTAAAATTTATTTGATTCGTTCAAAATTTAGTTTTCGGGGTCGCTGAATCCAAATATGATCTTAAATTTAGATTCAGCGACCCAAAAACCCTCAAGTACCGAATTTTGAACGAATCGAAAAAAATTTTAAAGTTTTTCTGCCTTATTGGGTGGCCATAATGGGTCCGCCATTTTGAATTTTTAAAATCTGACATCAAATTTGAATTAAGTGAACCTAAAAACCCCCGAGTACTAAATTTTGAACGAATCGAATCAACTTAAAATTTTTCCGCCATATTGGGTCCGCCATTTTAAATTTTTTGAATCTGACCTTAAATTTGGAATCAGCGGCCCCAAAAACTTTTAATAGGATGATATGATATATTTTTGGAAATTTTTTTTGGATCGTTTTGGGCCCACAAACGATTTTTCTACTAGATTCCGAAGGGATTAATATTTATGAGCTGTGTCTTTGGAGTTAAGAGTGGTAATTTAAAAGTTATTTTGGAGACGTTTGAGACCTCAAAATAGACCGCCATCTGTACGGAAATATAAGTGTTAAGAATTTAATTCAAATTTTACGAATGTGGTATTAACAGATAAGGATGGTTATTTAATATTCCAATTTATGACCAAATTATTTAGAGGATGGTTTTTGGGTGTAAGGGTGGATTGTTAAAAATTTTATTTGTAGCTACTTAAAAGTCTTAAATTAACCATAGACTACTGCAAGAAAAAATTACAAAATTTAAAATATTTGATATTGGTGGTTTTGGGGTTAAAGGGGTTGTTTTTTGAAAAATTATTTTGGAAACCTGTGAAATGACTTACATTAGCCTAAAATTTTTATAAAAGAAATTATTATAATATCAAGTTCAAATGTAACGAGGCTGGTTTTAAGGGTTAAGGATGGTTTTCTGAAAATGCAATTTTAAGGTTATTAAGAGCCCTAAATTAATTGACCAATTTTTCTTGATTACAAACATTATTATTCTATTAACTTGAATAAACAGGCGGGCAATAGTTAAATTCCTAAATACCGCAAAATTCAACCTTCAAAGAGTGGTTTCTACCCTTAAATTTGAGTCTTGGCAGATAAAAAAATACGTATCTAATACTTTTCCATATTCTAACTGAAACTCCTTGGCTGAACAAAATCGGTGAATCCGGGTACCGTAGTGTTACTTGTGAGTACGGAGATAATGTATCCTTAAAATTTTACAATCATTCCAATATGGCACTTTATCATAAATTAATTACTAGAATATGTATATTAATACTATGATATACTAATATCATATCATTCGAATCAACAAAGCCATATATGAAAAACTGAAAAATACCGAATTTTAACTAAAATCACAAAAAATGTGGTTTTTGCGGAAGCTATATCTTTGTCAATTTTTGAGATATAGAGTTGGTTTTTTTAAATTACTCAGAATTTTATACATTTTCTATGAACTACTTTGACGCATAAACATTGCAGAGTCGTAAGAAGATTTTTTTCCCTTAGATCGAAATAATATCGACTGCAAAATTATTTTTACATATTTGAAATTTATTAAAATGTGAAATTGATATTTGGGTTTTTTACATTAGATTTTAAAATTAATTAATTAGTCTAAAGTTAAGTTAAATATTATATATATTAGGGTCCCCAAAAAAACCTCGACATTTGAATTTCTGTGATGCTACCCCAAAATTTTGTTCCTTGGGGGAAAAAAAGAGATACGTATTTTTTTAAAATTTTTATTAATATTTAGAGGTCGCGCTATTTCGTTTTTTATGAAAAAACGGATTTTTTCAATTATTTGACTTTCAAATAAGCAAAAACAATGCAAAAAAATTCGG